TCACCTGCGGGGGGCGCTCTCACCTGCGGGGGGCGCTCTCACCTGCGGAGGGCGCTCTCACCTGCGGGGGGCGCGCTCTCTCTCTCTCTCTCTCTCACAGTGACATGATCACACGTGCACAGTTTCAGTTTTTCACTTTATTTTATTAAATCAGTTTGAAAAATAAATGTTTTTGTGGAGTCATTTTTTTTTGTGTTAAAGTGCAGCACCGACACAACTCTGAACAAAACAAACACACAAACTGTTCAAACGCACACAAACACACACGGACTTGTGTTTGTTTCATTCACATGTTTGAGTAAAACTTTATTATGAGTCTGTTTACATCTGCAAAGCTCCAGACGCTCTGCTCCACCTTGTGATGTCATCAAGTTTTCAGGAGAGTTGGGCCACTCCAGGGTTCGTGCGTCAAACGTGTGTGATTGAGTGTGTGTACATGTACTCAAGTATCCCGGGTGTGTGGAGTCTGCGGTGTCTGTGTGAGTGTGCAGCGTCCCCGCGAGTGTGCGGCGTCCCCGCAAGTGTGCAGCGTCCCCGCGAGTGTGCGGCATCCCCAACGTCCTGACACCAGCCAAACTCTTAAGTCACAATATTTTAAATGAACAAAAACAAAAAAAACTGTTTAATATAAACACTTTAACACCAGGCTCAGCTCTGTGTGTGTGTGTCTGTGTGTGTATGTGTTGTGTGCGTGTGTGTATGTGTGCGTATTTTAAAGTCCTTTCAGGTGAACTTGCGGATGAATCGGAGTTTGACGTAGGCGATGGTGAGAAACGCCGTCGTCATGACACCCAGAGCCACGTGATTCTGCCACAGTCCCCACAACGACGAGTCCACACCCTGCTCTGTGAGGACCTCCTCCCCCAGACGACAACTGAGGAAGACGAGGGACCAACGTCAACTCTGATCATAGTACACATGCAGTACTGTGTAGTACACACGCAGTACTGTGTAGTACACACGCAGTACTGTGTAGTACACATGCAGTACTGTGTAGTACATGTGCAGTACTGTGTAGTATACATGCAATATTCTGTAGTACACATGCAGTACTCTGTAGTACACATGCAGTACTATATAGTATACACGCAGTACGATGTAGTACACACACAGTACTGTGTAGTACACACGCAGTACTGTGTAATACACATGCAGTACTGTGTAGTACACACGCAGTACTGTGTAGTACACACGCAGTACTGTGTAATACACATGCAGTAGTGTGTAGTACACGTGCAGTACTGTGTAGTACACACGCAGTACTGTGTAGTATACATGCAATATTCTGTAGTACACATGCAGTACTCTGTAGTACACACGCAGTACTGTGTAGTATACACGCAGTACGAAGTAGTACACACGCAGTACTGTGTAGTATACACGCAGTACAAAGTAGTACACACGCAGTACTCTGTAGTACACATGCAATACTCTGTAGTACACGTGCAGTACTGTGTAGTACACATGCAGTACTGTGTAGTACATGTGCAGTACTGTGTAGTATACATGCAATATTCTGTAGTACACATGCAGTACTCTGTAGTACACACGCAGTACTGTGTAGTATACACGCAGTACGAAGTAGTACACACGCAGTACTCTGTAGTACACATGCAATACTCTGTAGTACACGTGCAGTAGTGTGTAGTACACGTGCAGTAGTGTGTAGTACACGTGCAGTACTGTGTAGTACACGTGCAGTAGTGTGTAGTACACGTGCAGTACTGTGTAGTACACGTGCAGTAGTGTGTAGTACACGTGCAGTAGTGTGTAGTACACGTGCAGTAGTGTGTAGTACTTTTATAAAGTTCACACTTACAACTCGGTGCCGTTCAGTTTTTGGCAGAACTCCAGTCCCACAAACTCATTTATCTGCAGCGCCTGAAAACAAAGTATAAAGTATTTAAAGTACATGAAGTACACATACAGTACGCATAAAGTACATAAAGTACATGTATAGTACACTTAAAGTACATAAAGTACATAACGTACACCTTCAGAGCACTTTCACACACAGTGCATCGCACTAATGAAACTCCTGCACAAACATCAGGTTTGTTCAGTGTCTTTTCAGTTTTGTGTCGTGTGAAAGCATGTGGGCGGAGCCTCGTACAGACTCGTACTGTTGAAGCATGTGGGCGGAGCCACGTACAGACTCGTACTGTGGAAGCATGTGGGCGGAGCCTCGTACAGACTTGTACTGTGGAAGCATGTGGGCGGAGCCTCGTACAGACTTGTACTGTGGAAGCATGTGGGCTGAGCCTCGTACAGACTTGTACTACTAACTGTAAGGAGGGTTTGAATAGAGCTCAGGAGAGATCACTAGATGACTCAAACGTGTGTGAATGACTCTAAAACCTCTTCAGGCAGGATTGTGAACATGAGAGAAAACAAAAATGTTGTGTGTACATGTTGTGTGTGTATATGTTGTGTGTACATGTTGTGTGTTTTGTGTGTATATGTTGTGTGTACATGTGTGTTTTGTGTGTATATGTTGTGTGTATATGTGTGTGTGTTTTGTGTGTATATGTTTGTGTGTACATGTTGTGTGTTTTGTGTGTATATGTTGTGTGTACATGTGTGTTTTGTGTGTATATGTTGTGTGTATATGTTGTGTGTACATGTTGTGTGTTTTGTGTGTATATGTTGTGTGTACATGTTGTGTGTTTTGTGTGTATATGTTGTGTGTGTGTGTACATGTTGTGTGTTTTGTGTGTATATGTTGTGTGTATGTTGTACATGTGTGTTTTGTGTGTATATGTTGTGTGTACATGTGTGTTGTGTGTGTATATGTTGTGTGTATATGTTGTGTGTACATGTTGTGTGTTTTGTGTGTATATGTTGTGTGTACATGTTGTGTGTTTTGTTGTGTGTGTGTATATGTTGTGTGTTGTGTGTACATGTTTGTGTGTTTTGTGTGTATATGTTGTGTGTACATGTTGTGTGTGTGTGTATATGTTGTGTGTGTTTTGTGTGTACATGTTGTGTGTTTTGTGTGTATATGTTGTGTGTACTTGTTGTGTGTTTTGTGTGTATATGTTGTGTGTACTTGTTGTGTGTTTTGTGTGTATATGTTGTGTGTTTTTTGTGTGTATATGTTGTGTGTACATGTTGTGTGTTTTGTGTGTATATGTTGTGTGTACATGTTGTGTGTTTTGTGTGTATATGTTGTGTGTACATGTTGTGTGTTTTGTGTGTATATGTTGTGTGTACATGTTGTATATATGTTGTATATGTTTTGTGTGTACATGTTGTGTGTGTTTTGTGTGTATATGTTGTGTGTGTTTTGTGTGTATATGTTGTGTGTGTTTTGTGTGTATATGTTGTGTGTGTTTTTGTTGTGTAATGTTGTATATGTTTTGTGTGTATATGTTGTGTGTATATGTTGTGTGTGTTTGTGTGTAAATTTTGTGTGTGTTTTTGTGTGTATATGTTTCTGTGTGTTTTGTGTGTATATGTTGTGTGTGTTTGTGTGTAAATGTTGTTGTGTTTTTGTGTGTATATGTTGTGTGTGTTTTGTGTGTATATGTTGTGTGTATATGTTGTGTGTGTTTTGTGTGTATATGTTGTGTGTATATGTTGTGTGTGTTTTGTGTGTATATGTTGTGTGTGTTTTGTGTGTAAATGTTGTGTGTGTTTTGTGTGTATATGTTGTGTGTATATGTTGTGTGTGTTTTGTGTGTAAATGTTGTGTGTGTTTTGTGTGTAAAAGTTGTGTGTACAGATAAATCGGACACTGACCCCAAATCCGTATCGGGGGATACTCAGATACTTGAGCCACGCCAACCAACTCACGATGGACGGAAGGTTCACCAGCAACCCCGTAAAAATCTGCACACAACACACAACACAACACACAACACACAACACAACACAACACAACACACAACACAACCCCGTAAAAATCTGCACACAACACACAACACAACACACAACACACAACACAACCCCGTAAAAATCTGCACACAACAACACACAACACACAACACACAACACACAACACAACCGTAAAAAATCTGCACACAACAACACACACACAACACACACACAACCCGTAAAATCTGCACACAACACACAACACAACACACAACACAACCCCGTAAAAATCTGCACACAACACACAACACAACACACAACACACAACACACAACACACACAACACAACACACAACACAACACACAAACACACAACACACACACCACCGTAAAAAATCTGCACACAACACACAACACAACACACAAACACACACACAACCCCGTAAAAATCTGCACACAACACACAACACAACACACAACACACAACACAACCCCGTAAAAATCTGCACACAACACACACAACACAACACACCCCGTAAAATCTGCACACAACACACACACACAACACACACACAAACCCCGTAAAAAATCTGCACACAACACAACACAACACACACACAACCCCGTAAAAATCTGCACACACAACACAAACACACAACACACACACAAACCCCGTAAAAATCTGCACACAACACAACACAACACACAACACAACCCCGTAAAAATCTGCACACAACACACACACAACACACAACACAACCCCGTAAAAATCTGCACACAACACACAACACACACACAACCCGTAAAAATCTGCACAACAACACAACACACAACACACAACACAACCCCGTAAAAATCTGCACACAACACAACACACAACACAACCCCGTAAAAATCTGCACACAACACAACACACAACACACAACACACAACACAACCCCGTAAAAATCTGCACACAACACAACACACACACACACACAACACAACCCCGTAAAAATCTGCACACAACACAACACACAACACAACCCCGTAAAAATCTGCACACAACACACACACACACACACACAACACAAACCCCGTAAAAATCTGCAACACACAACAACACACAACACACAACAAACCCCGTAAAAATCTGCACACAACACACACACACACAACACACACAACCCGTAAAAATCTGCACACAACACAACACACACACACAACACAACACAACCCCGTAAAAATCTGCACACAACACACAACACAACACACAACACAACCCCGTAAAAATCTGCACACAAACACAACACACAACACACAACACACAACACAACCCCGTAAAAATCTGCACACAACACACAACACAACACACAACACAACCCCGTAAAAATCTGCACACAACACACAACACAACACACAACACAACCCCGTAAAAATCTGCACACAACACACAACACACACACACACACAACACACACACACACACACACACACACAGACACACACACACACACACACACACACACACACACACACACACACAACACACACACACACACACAACACACACAGACACACACACAGACACACACACACACACACAGACACACACACACACACACACACAACAACACACACACACACACACAGACACACACACACACACACACAGACACACACACACACAGACACACAGACACACACACACACACACACACACACACACAGACACACACACACACACACAGACACACACACAGACACACACACACACAGACACACACACACAGACACACACACACACACACAGACACAGACACACATACACACACACACACACAGACACACACACACACACACACAGGGCGGAGTGTGTGCACGTACCATCATGAAGACGAAGGAGATGGTGATGAAGATGTTGGCGATGGCGACCACCGTCTGGTCGGCCGAGATCGCCAGGGTCATGGACGTCGCCGTGTACGACACGAGCGCCACCGTCACCATGAAGATGAAGAACGAGGCGGCGGTCGGCTTCAGACCTGCGGGACACACCAGGTTCCACACTCCAGCTTTAATCTGTGTGTAAAGTCCCGCACTCCAGCTTTAATCTGTGTGTAAAGTCCCACACTCGAGCTTTAATCTGTGTGTAAAGTCCCGCACTCGAGCTTTAATCTGTGTGTAAAGTCCCGCAATGGAGCTTTAATCTGTGTGTAAAGTCCCGCAGTATAACTTTAATCTGTGTGTAAAGTCCCGCTGTAGAGCTTTAATCTGTGTGTAAAGTCCAACACTCGAGCTTTAATCTGTGTGTAAAGTCCCACACTCGAGCTTTAATCTGTGTGTAAAGTCCCGCACTCGAGCTTTAATCTGTGTGTAAAGTCCCGCAGTAGAACTTTAATCTGTGTGTAAAATCCCACAGTAGAGCTTTAATCTGTGTGTAAAGTCCCGCAGTAGAACTTTAATCTGTGTGTAAAGTCCCGCAGTGGAACTTTAATGTGTGTGTAAAGTCCCGCAGTCGAGCTTTAGTGTCGTGTCGTGTGTGTAAAGTCCCACGGTGGAGCTTTAGTGTCGTGTGTGTAAAGTCCCGCGGTGGAGCTTTAGTTCTTCTGACCGATCATGAAGTAGGCGACGCAGGTGAAGACGATGGCGGGGATGGTCCTCAGGGTGAGTATGTCCGACAGGATCTTGGACAGGAAGTACACCGAGACCCGGTAGTACCCGCTGATGTACTCGTGTCTGCGGAGAAGACACAGAGAGAGAGACGGTAACCACGGTGACACGCGGTAACCACGGTGACACACGGTAACCACAGCAACAGGAAGTACACCGACGCCGGCTTCATTGGATCGAGTCCTGAGCGTCGCGTTTCACTGATAAACACCTGGAAAGTTCTGTCCACGTCCTCCTCAAACAGACCTGGACTGGAGTTTTGTTTGATTCACACACACACACGCGCAGAAAACACTCTGCGCCACCTCGTGATGTCATCAGGTGGTGATACAGGAAGTGCTCCACTGTGTTTTGAAAGGTGCTTTGTGTCGCTTTTCTGCTGGAGGCTCCGTCCAACTCTTTTTTTTTGTTTCTCCGTGGAGATGTTCGTGCTTCGTCTGGAATGTTTCACATTGTGGCATTAAACCTTTCTATCTCCACGGAGACCAAAACCAGACGCAGTTCCAGGTCAGATCTGTGGAGAGGCGACTCCGCTCACAGTCACAAGGTCTGTTTGGTTTTTTTAGGGATTTTTGAGCAATAAAACCACCTGTAACTGAATAAATGTAAAGTCGAGCGGTTTAATGTCACACTGTGGAACATTCTGGTAAAAAGACAGAGGTGAGAGGAGCAGCAGGTTTCAGTTTCAGTGTTTTGGTGTTTCAATGTTTTGGCGTTTCAGTGTTTTGGTGTTTTGGCGTTTCAATGTTTTGGTGTTTTGGCGTTTCAGTGTTTCCATGTTTCAGTGTTTTGGCGTTTCGGTGTTTCAGTGTTTTGGTGTTTCAGTGTTTCAGTGTTTCAGTGTTTCGGTGTTTCCATGTTTCAGTGTTTTGGCGTTTCGGTGTTTCAGTGTTTTGGCGTTTTGATGTTTCGATGTTTTGATGTTTCAGTGTTTTGGTGTTTCAGTGTTTCGGTGTTTCCATGTTTCAGTGTTTTGGCGTTTCGGTGTTTTGGTGTTTCGGTGTTTTGATGATTTGGTGTTTCCATGTTTCAGTGTTTTGGTGTTTTGATGTTTTGATGTTTCAGTGTTTCGGTGTTTTGATGTTTCAGTGTTTCGGTGTTTTGTTGTTTCGATGTTTCAGTGTTTCGGTGTTTCGATGTTTCGGTGTTTCAGTGTTTCAGTGTTTCGGTGTTTCCATGTTTCAGTGTTTCGGTGTTTCGTGTTTCAGTGTTTCGGTGTTTCAGTGTTTCAGTGTTTCGGTGTTTCCATGTTTTCAGTGTTTTGGTGTTTCAGTGTTTCGGTGTTTCGATGTTTCGGTGTTTTCGGTGTTTCCGTGTTTTCGGTGTTTCCGTGTTTTCGATGTTTCGATGTTTCGATGTTTCCGTGTTTCGGTGTTTCCGTGTTTTCCGATGTTTCGATGTTTCGATGTTTCGGTGTTTCGGTGTTTCGATGTTTCGGTGTTTCGGTGTTTCGATGTTTCAGTGTTATAGTGTTTCAGTGTTTCGATGTTTCAGTGTTTCAGTGTTTCCGTGTTTTCGGGTGTTTCGATGTTTCCATGTTTCAGTGTTTCGGTGTTTCCATGTTTCCATGTTTCAGTGTTTCGATGTTTCCGTGTTTCGGTGTTTCCGTGTTTTCGGTGTTTCGATGTTTCCGGTGTTTCCGTGTTTTCGGTGTTTCGATGTTTCGGTGTTTCAGTGTTTCGATGTTTCCGTGTTTCCGTGTTTCGGTGTTTCGATGTTTCGGTGTTTCAGTGTTTCGATTGTTTCGGTGTTTGATTTGTTTTGGGTTCAGTTGGTTTTAAACTCACATGAAGAGTTTCCTCTCGGTGATGAAAAGTTCAGCCGAAGACACAGAACTGAAACACTGATTCACCGTGACGAAGAAAAGAGCACCGAACCTACGACAAGAAAAGAAAAAGAAACACAACACAACAACACAAACACACAACAACAACACACAACACAAACAACAAACACAAACAACAACAACACACAAACAACACAAAAACACACAACACGAACACAACACAACACACAACACACAAACACAAACAACAAACACAACAACACAAACAACACAACGACGTCAACACAAACAACACAACAACACAAACAACACAACAAAACACAAACACAACACACAACAACACAACAACAACACAACACACAACACCAACAACAAACACACACACACAAACACAAACAACACAACAACACAACAAACAACAAACAACACAACACAAACACACAAACACAACAACACAACAACACACAACACAACAACAACACAACACAACACAACAAACACAACAAAACACACACAACACAAACAACACAAACACAACAACACACAACAACACACAACAACACAACAACACAACACAAACAACACAACACAAACAACAACACAAACAACACAACACAAACAACACAACACACACAACACAACAACACAACAACACCAACACAAACAACACAACAACACAAACAACACAAACACGACAACACAACAACAACACAACAACACAACACAACACAAAACAACAAACACAAACAACACAAACAACACACACACAAACAACAACAAACACACACAACAACAACAACAAACAACACAACAACAACACACAACAACAAACACAACACAACAACACAACACAAACAACACAACAAACACAACACACAACAACACAACACAACAACACAAACAACACAACACACAACACAACAACAACAAACAACACACAAACAACAAACAAACACAAACAACACAACAACAACACAACACAACACAAACAAACACAACACACAACACAAACACACAAACACAACACAAACAAAACAACAACACAACACAACACAAACAACACAACACAACACAACACAAACAACACAACAACAAACAACACAACAACACAACACAACACAACAACACAACAACAACAACACACAACAAAACAACACAACACACAAACAACACACAACAACACAACACAAAACACAAACAACACAAACAACACAAAACAACAACACAAAACAACACAAACAAACACAAACACAACACAAACACACACACACAACACAAAACAACACAAACAACAACACAACAACACAACACAACAAACAACACAAACACACAACAACACAACAACAACAACACAAACACACAACAACACAAACAACACAAACACACAACAACAACACACAACACAACAACACACAACACAACAACAACAACACAAAACACAACACAACAACAAACAACACAACAACAACACAACAACACAACAACACAACACAAACAACACAACAACACAAACAACACAACAACACAAACACGACAACACAAACAACACAACAACACAAACACGACAACACAAATTTAAAAACTGACAAAAAATTTTGGAAAATAAAAATAAAAAAAGAGCAAAATTATAAAAATAGAGAAAAAATTTCTAAAAATTTGAGGAAAAAAAAAAAAAACTGACAACAAAATTAAAGAATAAAATATTGTCCAGGTTTAGACCTTTTTGACCAAAACTGAAAAAGAAAAAAAAACAAAAAACATCGATAGTTTCTGTCTTGTGTTTTTTTAGTATCGACACCTGTGAAAAATCAGTATTGTTATATCGGTATCGGTATCGGTATCAGACCTGTTCTGAATCCCGCTCTGGTCATTCTTGACGCCGAAGAAGAGCGCGCCGACCACGAGCGCCAGGAACACGGTGACCGCCACCTGCAGGACACAGCCGGGATCACACCCACGTCCAAGAAAGTATTCAGAAGAATAAGAATAAACGTACTGGTAGTACTTGTAGTACTTGTAGTACTGGTAGTACTGGTAGTAGTTGTAGCAGTGGTAGTACTTGTAGTACTGGTAGTAGTTGTAGTACTTGTAGTAGTTGTAGTAGTTGTAGTACTGGTAGTACCTGTAGTATTTGTAGTACTTGTAGTACCTGTAGTACTGTAGTACTGTAGTACTGGTAGTACTGGTAGTACCTGTAGTACTTGTAGTACCTGTAGTACTGTAGTACTTGTAGTACTGGTAGTACTGGTAGTACTTGTAGTACTTGTAGTACTGGTAGTACTGGTAGTAGTTGTAGTACTTGTAGTACTGGTAGTACTTGTAGTACCTGTAGTACTTGTAGTAGTGGTAGTACCTGTAGTACTTGTAGTACTTGTAGTACCTGTAGTACCTGTAGTACTGTAGTAGTACTGTAGTAGTAGTACTTGTAGTACTTGTAGTACTGTAGTACTGTAGTACCTGTAGTAGTACCTGTAGTACTGTAGTACTGTAGTACTGTAGTACCTGTAGTACCTGTAGTACCTGTAGTACTGTAGTAGTACTGTAGTAGTACCTGTAGTACTGTAGTACTGGTAGTACTTGTAGTACTGTAGTACCTGTAGTACTGTAGTAGTACCTGTAGTACTGTAGTACTGTAGTGTAGTACCTGTAGTACTGGTAGTACCTGTAGTACCTGTAGTACTGTAGTACTTGTAGTACCTGTAGTACCTGTAGTACTGGTAGTACCTGTAGTACCTGTAGTACTGGTAGTACCTGTAGTACTTGTAGTACTTGTAGTAGTGGTAGTACTGTAGTACTTGTAGTACTGGTAGTACTGTAGTACCTGTAGTACTTGTAGTACTTGTAGTACTGTAGTAGTAGTGGTAGTACCTGTAGTACTGTAGTACTGTAGTACTGTAGTAGTAGTGGTAGTACTCGTGGTAGTTGTAGTACTTGTAGTAGTGGTAGTACCTGTAGTACTGTAGTACTGTAGTACTGTAGTACTTGTAGTACTTAGTAGTAGTTGTAGTACTGTGTAGTACTGTAGTACTTGTAGTACTGGTAGTAGTACCTGTAGTACTTGTAGTACTTGTAGTACTGGTAGTAGTGGTAGTACCTGTAGTACTTGTAGTACTTGTAGTACTGTAGTGGTAGTACTGTGTAGTACCTGTAGTACTTGTAGTAGTAGTTGTAGTACCTGTAGTACCTGTAGTACTTGTAGTACTGGTAGTAGTGGTAGTACTGTAGTACCTGTAGTACTGTAGTACTTGTAGTACTGTAAAGTACTTGTAGTACTGGTAGTACTTGTAGTACTTGTAGTACCTGTAGTAGTACTTGTAGTAGTGGTAGTACCTGTAGTACCTGTAGTACCTTGTAGTACTTGTAGTACTTGTAGTACTTGTAGTAGTGGTAGTACCTGTAGTACTTGTAGTACCTGTAGTACCTGTAGTACTTGTAGTACTGGTAGTACCTGTAGTACTTGTAGTACTTGTAGTAGTGGTAGTACCTGTAGTACTGTAGTACCTGTAGTACTTGTAGTACCTGTAGTACCTGTAGTACTGTAGTACTGTAGTACCTGTAGTACTTGTAGTACTTGTAGTACTGGTAGTACCTGTAGTACCTGTAGTACTTGTAGTACCTGTAGTACCTGTAGTACCTGTAGTACTTGTAGTACCTGGTAGTACCTGTAGTACCTGTAGTACCTGTAGTACCTGTAGTACCTGTAGTACTTGTAGTACTGGTAGTAGTGGTAGTACTGGTAGTACTGGTAGTGTTTGTAGTACCTGTAGTACCTGTAGTACTTGTAGTACTGTTGTAGTAGTGGTAGTACCTGTAGTACTTGTAGTACCTGTAGTACCTGTAGTACCTGTAGTACTGGTAGTAGTGGTAGTACCTGTAGTACTGGTAGTACCTGTAGTACCTGTAGTACTTGTAGTACCTGTAGTAGTAGTAGTACCTGTAGTACTTGTAGTACCTGTAGTACCTGTAGTACTGTAGTACTTGTAGTAGTGGTAGTACTGTTAGTACTTGTAGTACTGTAGTAGTAGTACTGGTAGTACTGTTAGTACTGTGTAGTTGTAGTACCTGTAGTACCTGTAGTACCTGTAGTACTTGTAGTACCTGTAGTACTTGTAGTACTGTAGTACCTGTAGTACTTGTAGTACTGTTAGTACTGGTAGTACTGGTAGTACTCGTAGTAGTGGTAGTACCTGGGCGACGGAGGTCTGGGGGTTGAGCACCAGGTTCCTGAAGGTTCTCTTGAGGACCCATCTGAACTGTGTGCAGAAGCTCGTGTTGTAGGTGATGGTTCTGGAGCGAGACGACGCCGACCTCTGTTTTCCCGCCACGATTCGCTCTGCAACGACGGAGAGTCAGGAGGGACGCCGCGGCCGCCCCGGGGCAGACCGCACCGCCCCCCCCCCAGCACGCCGGCGAAGGGTGACGGGGGGAAGTGTCTTGCCAAAGGACACAGCGGTGATGTGTGTGGTTTTTATACTTTCTTATCTTTGATTTGTTCTGTACAGTTCGTTCTAAAGTGACTGAGGAAAGGTTCTGCTCTGTTCTGTCAGAGGGACTTTAGTTTCGATTCTCCTTTGGTATCGATTAAGATTTGAGTCAATACTTTTGACAAAACGAATGTCATTTGAAACACAGTGATTCTCTGATTAGTCCTGGTTTAGACCTGGTTTAGTCCTGGTTTAGTCCTGGTTTAGTTCTGGTTTAGTCCTGGTTTAGTCCTGGTTTAGTTCTGGTTTAGTCCTGGTTTTTCAGGAAAGGTTCAGTTCTGTCACTGGGACTTTTTCAGGATCTGTGGCTCTAGTTTCGATGTTTGTTTTAGTCTTGATTCAGATTTATACTTTTGATGATTTGTCTGTTATGAGCCTCTGTCAGCTGCTCTGTCTCTGTGAAGTTTTGCTAAAGTACACGAGTACACAAATACACAAATACACAAGTACATGAGTACACAAATCCAGGGAGGTACCGAGTTCTGCTTTGGTCTGCTTGTAGTAGCTGGACGTCCTGTACTCCTGCACCAGCTTCTCCTCGATGGCCTGAGTGGACGGAGACTCTGCGTCTGCACAAACACCAACAACTCTGAGCGCGAAAAACTCTGAGCTCGAAAAACTCTGAGCACGAAAAACTCTGAGCACGAAAAACTCTGAGCACAAAGACGAAAAACTCTAAGCACAAAGACGAACACAAGTCACTTACACTTCATTTGTAAAAAAACCGGAAATGTGTCAAATTTACATTTCAGAATTATTAAAGAGTCCAAAATCCAGTTCAAATGCTGTTAAAATCCAATAAAAACCCCGTTCAGATCCAGTTAGTCTGACTCACCGTTATCGTTGTCGTTTGACTCAGCGTCGTCGTCGTCGTCGTCGTCTTTGGCGTTGGCGTTGTTCAGAGCCACGGCCGTCGAGTCTCCGTTGATCACGTCCAGGAAGAAGTCTGCAGGGTTATTGTGGGGCTCACAGGTGTATCCTGGGAAACGGAGTCACAAGCAGCAACAACACAGTCAACACAGTCCTGGGTTAGACCTGGTTTAGTCCTGGTTTAGATCTGGTTTAGTCCTGGTTTAGACCTGGTTTAGTCCTGGTTTAGTCCTGGTTTAGACCTGGTTTAGTCCTGGTTTAGTCCTGGTTTAGTCCTGGTTTAGTCCTGGTTTAGTCCTGGTTTAGACCTGGTTTAGTGGTTAGTCCTGGTTTAGTCCTGGTTTAGTCCTGGTTTAGACCTGGTTTAGTCCTGGTTTAGTCCTGGTTTACCTGGTTTTAGTCCTGGTTTAGTCCTGGTTTAGACCTGGTTTAGTCCTGGTTTAGTCCTGGTTTAGACCTGGTTTAGTCCTGGTTTAGTCCTGGTTTAGTCCTGGTTTAGTCCTGGTTTAGTCCTGGTTTAGACCCTGGTTTAGACCTGGTTTAGACCTGGTTTAGTCCTGGTTTAGTCCTGGTTTAGTCCTGGTTTAGTCCTGGTTTAGTCCTGGTTTAGACCTGGTTTAGTCCTGGTTTAGTCCTGGTTTAGTCCTGGTTTAGTCCTGGTTTAGTCCTGGTTTAGACCTGGTTTAGTCCTGGTTTAGACGGTTTAGTCCTGGTTTAGTCCTGGTTTAGTCCTGGTTTAGTCCTGGTTTAGTCCTGGTTTAGACCTGGTTTAGACCTGGTTTAGTCCTGGTTTAGTCCTGGTTTAGTCCTGGTTTAGTCCTGGTTTAGACCTGGTTTATGTCCTGGTTTAGTCCTGGTTTAGACCTGGTTTAGACCTGGTTTAGTCCTGGTTTAGACCTGGTTTAGCCCAAATGTGAAAACAGGAAAATCCCTCTGTTTAATCCATTTATTTGAACAAAGTAACTGTAATCCAATTACCACTCACTGAAACAGTAACTGTAACTGAATACAGTTACTCATCATTTGTACTCTGATTACGTAATCCCAGTTACATGTAATCCCAGTTACATGTAATCCCAGTTACATGTAATCCCAGTTACATGTAATCTGTTACTCCCGACACTGGTCGCGGGAGAGTTTTTTTGGTCACATGTGTCTGTGTCTCCACAGACTCGTTCACACGAACAAACACACGAGGATTTTTAAAAACAGAGACTTTTCCCTTCGTTTGTTCTCGTCTTTTACAAACAAACGGAGATTTCACCTCTGAAAAAGAAAGTTTGTAAAACTCAGGAGTAAACGGAGTTTAGGAGCTGAAGCGACGAAAGTGCGACTGATGTTTCTCTTTCGCTCTGATGGAGGCGAGTCACTAATGCACCATTTTAACCAGATCTGTGGAGAGGCGAGTCACTAATGCACCATTTTAACCAGATCTGTGGAGAGGCGAGCCACTAATGCACCATTTTGAACCAGATCTGTGGAGAGGCGAGCCACTAATGCACCATTTTAAACGTGTTTGTGAGTAAAACTTACAACTGTAGTGAAATAAAAGCTGCAGGTTTGAGTCTGATCGCGGCGTCGCCCAGAGGTTCGGTGTCGTTCTGACGGAGCTCGAGGGTCGATGGAAACTAAAACATTTTTGAAAACGATGCTGCACGATGTGATTTTGGAAAATGAAGGAAGGGAAATATTATTTTCTCAACACATCGACTCTGTGGAAACAAAACCTAAGGCGAACTTAAAATCCCTTAGTTTTCTGAAAAATGGACAGTGTCTGGTTTGGTCTCCACGAAGATAAAAAGGTTTAACGCCGTCCGCCTGATGATGAGAATATTTTGGAAATATTTTGGAAATATTTTGGAAATATTTTGGAGAACAATGACAACAAAATAAAAATAAAAGCAGAATAGTTGAGGATCGTTTGTGAGAGTTTTTACTTCTTGAGCAGCAGCAGCACGGAGCCGGCGGTGGAGGCGTCCAGACCCGTCGTCGGTTCGTCCAGGAACAGAACCGACGGGTCGATGATCAGCTCCATCCCGATGTTCGTCCTCTTCCTCTCGCCCCCAGAGATGCCCCGGATCAGCTGAGTGCCCACCTGGACCAGACCAGGACCAGACCAGGGCCAGACCAGGGCCAGACCAGGGTTTAGACCGGGTTCAGTCCTTGATTTAGTCTTGGTTCAGTCCTGGTTTAGTCCTGGTTTAGTCCTGGTTTAGTCCTGGTTTAGTCCTGGTTTAGTCCTGATTTAGTCCTGGTTCAGGTTGGTTTAGTCCTGGTTTAGTCCTGGTTCAGACCTGGTTTAGTCCTGGTGGTTCAGTCCTGGTTTAGTCCTGATTTAGTCCTGTTTTAGTTCTGGTTTAGTCCTGGTTTAGTCCTGGTTCAGTCCTTGGTTTAGTCCTGGTTTAGTCTTGGTTCAGTCCTGGTTTAGTCCTGGTTTAGTCCTGGTTTAGTCCTGGTTTAGTCCTGGTTTAGTCCTGGTTTAGTCCTGGTTTAGTCCTGGTTTAGTCCTGGTTCAGTACCTGGTTTAGTCCTGGTTCAGTCCTGGTTTAGTCCTGGTTTAGTCCTGGTTTAGTCCTGGTTTAGTCCTGGTTCAGACCTGGTTTAGTCCTGGTTTAGTCCTGGTTTAGTCCTTCTGGTTTAGTCCTTGGTTCAGTCCTGGTTTAGTCCTGGTTTAGTCCTGTTTTAGTTCCTGGTTTTAGTCCTGGTTTAGTCCTGGTTCAGTCTTGGTTTAGACCTGGTTCAGTCCTGTTTAGTCCTGGTTTAGTCCTGGTTTAGTCCTGGTTTAGTCCTGGTTTAGTAGTCCTGGTTTAGTCCTGGTTTAGTCCTGATTTAGTCCTTGGTTCAGACCTGGTTTAGTCCTGGTTCAGTACCTGGTTTAGTCCTGGTTTAGTCCTGGTTAGTCCTGCCTGGTTCAGTCCTGGTTTAGTCCTGGTTTAGTCCTGGTTTAAGTCCTGGTTCAGTCCCTGGTTTAGTCCTGATTTAGTCCTGGTTTAGTCCTGGTTCAGTACCTGGTTTAGTCCTGGTTTAGTCCTGGTTTAGTCCTGGTTTAGTCCTGGTTTAGTCCTGGTTTAGTCCTGGTTTAGTCCTGGTTGGTTTAGTCCTGGTTTAGTCCTGGTTTAGTCCTGGTTTAGTCCTGGTTTAGTCCTGGTTTAGTCCTGGTTCAGACCTGGTTTAGTCCTGGTTAGTCCTGGTTTAGTCCTGGTTTAGTCCTGGTTTAGTCCTGGTTTAGTCCTGGTTCTCACGTACCCTGGAGTCCGCCACCTTCCCCAGGCCGAGTTCTTGGATGAGGCGGTCGACCCTCTGGTCCTTCAGGTCCTGGGAGATGGTCGAGGGCAAACGCAGAGCTGCAGAGAACCTGAAGTTCTCCCGCACGGTCAGAGTCCCCATCACCACATCGTCCTGAGGAGAACCAGGAGAACCTCTGAGGAGAACCAGGACTAAACCAGGACCACACGCTCACCTGGACTCACCTGGACCACACTCACCTGGACTCACCTGGACTCACCTGGACTCACCTGGACCACACTCTCACCTGGACTCACCTGGACCACACTCACACCTGGACTCACCTGGACCACACTCACACCTGGACTCACCTGGACTCACCTGGACTCACCTGGACTCACCTGGACTCTCACACTCTGGACTCACCTGGACCACACTCACACCTGGACTCACCTGGACTCACCTGGACTCACCTGGACTCACCTGGACCACACTCACACCTGGACTCACCTGGACCACACTCACACCTGGACTCACCTGGACCACACTCACACCTGGACTCACCTGGACCACACTCACACCTGGACTCACCTGGACTCACCTGGACCACTCACACCTGGACTCACCTGGACTCACCTGGACCACACTCACACCTGGACTCACCTGGACC